CTCAGATTCTCCAGCATCTGCAGTTCCTACTATCTCTGATCCTTATTGAGGTCGCTGTTTTAACAGAAAAGAATGTGACCCCTAAATGCTGAATCCAACAAAACAAGAAAATTACTTAATCCAGTTATTATGAACTAGTAGCTCCAGCTATTGTACATTTTTATTAGTTGTTCATCACCTGCAAGCTGAATCAACTGAATAATGTATATTCTTTTTAAAAAATGACTTAGCTATATATTATGGAAAGAACTGTGAAGCTTGAGTTTACAATACCAATTTTTATTCTTGGATACTATGGTGACCCATTGACCTTTGCTGTGGTCAGACTCACTCAAATAAGTTAGCACCGTGCCTCACTCACAGTCATCTACATTTATTTAACAGATTTGTGTTTTAAGTACAGTTAATGTTTGCAAATTGTATGAGACAACCAATCAGAATTTAACAGTTTTAAAAAAAAAAGCTCCTCCTCTGCTTTAAATCAAAATGTATTGCAATTGAGTGAATTACAAACAGTTATCCTGTCAATAAATGCAAAATATATTTACAAATTATTGAAGTCAGGCATGGACTTTGAGCTATGAAAAATCTAAAGGATATGCAAAGAATGTAACTAATTCTAGTGTTAAATTAATTATTAGCCTCAGGTACTGACGATAACGTGGATTAAGAAATGTGAAGTGGGATATTAACGGACAAGTCTGGATTGTTCTGGTTATACAAAGAATCGTACTCTCAGTAAATAGTCTAAGGAAAATGAGAGAACTGGCACAATGTTAGTGATGAGAAGAAGTCAATCCACAAAGGTACATTTATGGCCAAGTAATCTGTGTTTTGACCTTTTATTCCTGTCTTTTTCCTTACCATCAGGTGAACACTTCTCTTTTCTTCACAATTGCCGTTAGCAAGGTTATAAAATGTCCTTTCTAATCATTAAAGCTACTGTTTGTGGGAAAACTAGAAGTATGTAATAAATACTTTGCCCTATGTGTGTAACCTTAAATGGAAGCCGTATTCACAAAATTGATAAACAAAAGGAAAGATACCCAAAATGTTGCTACTGTATTGACATTGCTCGTCTCTCAGGTGTAATGCTTTAACTATACATTTTTGGTTTGTTAAGAGTGTAATGGTTTAGAGTGGAAAAATAGAACTGCTACAATTTGGAAAACTACACATTATTTTTGAAATTTTAATAAAAGTATATGAATTATATAAATTTCAGTTTGCAGTTGCTTTATAAACTTTCAAATATATCTTTTAACTGTTTAAAATTTAGTGTTGTGTGTATTTAAGATTTTTTTATTCCTTCAAAACTTATATGATTGCGCAGTATTTTTGCTTGTAATTAAGATAGATCTATTATGAACAATGACAAGTGTTTAAATTACTATTCTTTCTCATTTATTTCTC